GGGTGACCGTAGCGAAAAACTCACTTGGGTACGGATGGGCTGTAACGTACCGTACCGTGATGCCAATCTGAAGGCCAGATTTTGGTCATCGCGGCCAAATTTATTGAAAAAATGAAAAACAACAAAAAAAATGATTATAATGACTTATTAACAAGAGACAAGAAGATAAAAACAATAATGAGAAACAAGAGATAAAGTTGAAGATAAAAGAAGGGCAACAAAAACATATAAAAATATGATAAAAAGAATATACTTCTTGAAATTACTACTCCTTTTTTGCCATCTTCTTACTCTTCTTTTCTTCTCCCTCATACTCTTTCAAGTACTTCACTGCATCTTCAAATTTGTCATTTGGTACAATGCCTTGCTTGATCCATTCCCTGCATCCCACCTTCCGGGTGATTGTATTGGGAAGGATTGAACCTTGACCAGGAGCTGCAACGTCAGCAGCCGAAGAGAAAGATCGTTCAACGCAACAGGTTGTTGCTGAGATTGATAGATAGTCCCTTGCTATTGAGGCAAGTAAGGGAAAATCTTTTGTGTGTTTCTGTGTTAAAGATTACAAACATGTAATATTAATTAAACGAATACTAATAGCCTACAATAGGAGATGAGATTGAGCTCACCTTCCACCAGTCCAAAGGCTTTTCTTCAGGCGCTATTCCAAACTTATTAGATAGGTAGTCGCCCAGCTCATGTTCATGAGCATTTGATGCCGGTATGTTATCGGAAGCTGCTCCAAACATATCAAACTCATCAACTACATTGGGTACAGTCGATGCTTGAGTTAGAGGTAAAGGTTCAGGATCGTCTGGAGTCCATTTTGACAGCCGTCCTTGGAATACTTCATTAATCACATCTTGAGCTGAGACACTTGCAGCCGGATAGAAGTCTTGAAAAAATTTCAAGCGTCTTCGTGGGTTGAGGATTGTTGCAATAATAATGATTTCAGTTCCTAAAGTCTCTTCCTGATACTTCTTCAGCCAGGTAAGCATTTCATTTATGACAGTTAAGATACTAGGATATATAGTCTCTTCTTTGAGGCTTTCAAGTTTTTTCTTGATGCGTAGATATTCTGCAAGGACCTCACAACCTGACAAAAAGTCTCCCTGCATACGAAATGTAGCATCCTCAAAGACCTAGCCAAATCAAGATTGTCAGCAAAGAGCCGCACTGAATGTATTGCCATGAATTTATCACTCACCTCAAGGACTGGGTTCAAGGCTTCAACGGCTTCCCATTCCTCGTCAATGATAGAAAGACCACGGTAATGTTTATTGGTCTTCCGATCCATTGAAGTCATTGAGTTAAGGATCTGTAAATAATTATGCAATGTCAGTCATTTGTATATATACAAAGAAACAAAATGAAACTTGCATCTTTGCCATCACAAGCCCTGCGGCGACTGTCAGCTTTGACATTCCATCTTACCCCGTAACCTACAGTGAGTGTTTGAACGCCTTGTTCCTTTGCTTTCTGTGCAAAATAATTCTGTCTGGATGAACTTGAGCAAGTCATCTGGATGAGTTTATCAACCTAAAACAAGGTCTGTATCAGCTCAGAGAATGATAAGATGTTAAAAAACAAGTAACTCAAGCTCACCTTATGGACACTACGTGCTACAATGTCAGCTGATTGCATCATCAAATCTGAAATATCTTCAGACAACCCTTCATGTTCAATGGAATCAGGTACCAAAGAACCTTGGTCCTTGTCTGACTCATCAGAATCGATTAGGTCCACCTTGTCATCATTTACTCGAATGGTTGGGATGGGCACAATCAAACCCGGCTTCGTAGTTGGTTTGGTATGTCCTGCTCTGATAGCCAGAGTTTTGAGCCCGTGACTTACCATCAGAGCCAGCTTATGACAGAAGCATCTGACATGACTCTTCTCAGGTGACCAGTCGACGGGAGAGTCGCATTCGGAGAATAGCCGGGACATTTTGCGAGCCATTGGTCCGTTAGATGATCCAGAATCTGTTGTCTGTCCAATCATCTGAAATAAAAGAGGTCAGAAGCTCATCGAGATGGACAAAAGGACAGAAACAAGCAAGGACAAGATGGAGAAAACTATACCTTCTTGTGTAGCCCATGTCGAATGAGATTTCGAGCTACAGGTCGAGCTAAGAGATCTCCGCAATGATGCCAAGTGACTAGTTTTAACGTAAGGTGAACTGTCTAGTAATTCCAATTGTCATCAATATAGTTAACCATGACCCCAATAAATGCCATTTGATTTCCTTTTGTTGTCCATCCGTCATGAGCCAACGAGAACATGCTGGAGTTGTTCTACATAGTTAAACAAGATGTAAATGTGTGAGTGCCTGTATATATATCATGAAACAAAAGAGAAAAGAAACAAAAGCGAAAAAACGCACTTGTATGCGACTTATCACAACATTATAAAGTGAGTAGAAAAGATCCTTTGCGGTTGTGGCTGCCCACTTTGGAGATCACAGCTGAGCAGCTCGATTGCCAAGTTTGAATGCGGCTCTTAAGGTTGGGTCCAGGAAACGAATCCATGGCAGTGCATGGCGTAGGATCCAAATCACCAAGACAACATTCAACAACTCGACGCTGAAGGTGGATGCAGATAGAAACGACTTCATCACATTACCGGGGTTAATTGCTACTTCTACAGGTTTGTTGAGTTCTTTCCACGTGGGAGGTAGATCAAACTTGGCTTTGATGGCTTTTGCTCTTCCGGTGCAAGGCTTTCTCTTCTTGTATCCATCTCGATGTCCGTACAGATTTGAATTGCCGTCATCACCTTGAGTAAAATAACCGGGACAAAACTTGCATTTTAATCTTTGTTTGATTCCAGTAGCCTAAACAGATATGTTGAAATTCAATATATAGTTAGCAACAATCAAATATCAAGATAGATGATACAAGTTAAAGAAAGTCACTTACCTCTTCGCCTGGTACAAAGTCTGGTTCTTCGTAGTATGACAGTAAAAACGCAACATCGTCAGAGACCGTTTTTCTAAAGCTAGTTGGCTCGCCTTCATAAAGCAGTCCGTGAGTCTACAGGGGTCAATACAAAGCCGGGATTGATTTGGCGTGGGCTAGCACGAGCGGACCAACAAGAAGAAGATGATTCAGGAGCATTCAATGAGGTAGATGCCATATCAATAACAATGTGAGCCTACTAGCGTCTGTTGGGCTAGTAGAGTCAATAAAAAAGGAGATAGAAGTTTAAACAAACTTCTACTAGACTCGTGGGGATTACAATCCACGAGTTGGAGTATTTAAAGACGTGGGCGTAGAAGCTTTACTTGTAATAAACAAGTAAAGACTTCAGTTAGATGACCTTTTAACAAAGGATTTCACGCCCAGGGATTTTGGGTAATTGTTCTTATTTGCAACAATTAAAATAGAGCCACTGACGCGCAGTTCTCAAGCCTAAATTGAGTCACTTCTTGTACAAAAGAATGATCAATAAAGGAGGTGTTAAAGTCTATCTTAACACCAGGAACTTTGAACTCTGACTAATAGAGGTTCCCCGTAGATTTAGAGTTTCTTATATCAGATAAATCCCTGATCTGATATAAGCCTTACTCAAGGACTACTTCCTTACACGTAATTCCACCAAATGGATATTACGAAACTAACTGATCATAGAGTCTAATCAGATAGAAACAAAGTTCTGATGCGCACACAATAAGGTCAACAAGACACAAGGTTGAATATTCAAAGTTCGTAGAATCAGGCTTTTAAAGTTTGTAGATGTTAGACAAAGTTTTAAAAGTTCTAGGAAAGTGAAAGGAGCAATTTGTAAAGTTGTTGAATGTTAAAGTGATGATTCAAAAACAGGTGGGATCTTCAGGGTTTATATAGTCTGAACCTTGAGAATCTTTGGACTACAAGTGCGCACAAATTGTGGTTCTAAGGTTAGGTTAATTACAGTAACACAGTTACTATTGGGTTATAAGTATATTTCACTTGTTACATATGTGTTACGTCTGTGAAATATATGTAGTTTTGGTTCACATCAAAGTTGTGTACGTACACACTCTTTGATGTAAGTTTTGCACATGTTACATATGCCAAATCATATGTAACTTGACTCTTGAAACTGAGCCTTGAGTTGTAATTGCTGTTTTTAAGGTTTTCTAATATATTTGTCGCCCATTGGTACGCTGGTTTAGTACTCAGGGCTGACAAACAAAGTGATGAGGATAAGAGGTAAATGATCAGTGAACAGAAATTGAAAAGAAAAGTGAGAAGAGAAATGTTTGAAACAAAGAAGGACTTACTTGTATGTGTTTTTGATCCACGTAGCTCGGAGTCGTTGGATGAATGCAGGGTGAATATTGACAAAAGAGTACATCTGAGGACCCTGCGTTGAGAGAATCGAGGGATGAGAGTGTGAGGTAATGGTTAGGGGGAGAACCCCGTAGTCAGCCATAGTCATAGCAGATTTTGTTGCGGGTACCGTAACAAATCTGACCCGTTATCGTAACCATGACCGTAACCGGATTCTTGGGCTACACATTGCGGTACGGAGGCACCGTAGTGTAAAAAGGCGGATGATGGTACGGCGTGGGCCGTACCATACCGTACCACTGACCGTATTGACTTCGCTGAGGTCCGAACGTTGCAGGTATTTAGCGCATCTCTTGGTGCATTCCTTCTTGGATAAGTTTACCAAGCAAAAAGAAGAATAATTTGTTGAGATGAGATCACCTGACTCCATACACATCCAGACCACGTCAGATGGGGACTCTTGATCACCCCAGGTGAAGGCCAACCATTCAACTATCAAGTCAAGAGCTGACTTTCCGTCAGTGTTCAAGTCTTTCAACCATGACATCTGATTTCTCTTAGGAGGAGTTGGGGTGATGGTAGCTGATTCAGAGGTTTTCCCTTTGGAGTCTTGACTGCCACGTGGGGTAGTTGCTGGTTGGGACATATGTGAAGGGGTTGGTGGATTTCTAATGACAGAAATAAGGTGTTTCTGATTTGTTAGAGTTCTGTGCAGGGTTTGTTGAGTTCATGCAGGGATTTACACACATTGGAAGTGGAGGCAGATTGGGGTCGACGTCGGCAAAAAAAGGGTTGAGGTGTGTAAGCAGCGACACCGGGGGACTTTTGAATTTGCAGCCGATACCAGACAACAGAAATCTCACTTTTCCCGGCCGTGCTTAGTTTTTGGAAACCTAACTATTTAGGTTTCAGAAAAAGGTAGAATCTACCTTTCAACTTTGAGTACCCTAAATGCTCAACTCACATGTATGCCCTCCAATGTCAATTGATCTAAGATTATTTACGTCAATTATTTGCTCAAGTAAACAATCCTCCAATTGATCAAATCCAAGAATCAATTGTTATGTCATTGGAGTGTTATGTTGGGGCTGAGGCCCCAGGGCAATCTTCTGGCCCTTGAAGAATCCCAATCTGGTTAACTTGCCTTACCTAGTCCAATTCTCATTGTTGAGGAATTGCACGCACTTTTCAATTTGAATGTTACAGGTAGCCAAAGGCACAACAGTGCCTGTAGAGTTCCATAAAACTCAGGGATGAGCAAAGACTCAAAGGTAGAATCCGGTACCTGTAGTACGGTACCGGGATGGTGGTAAGACAAAGACTTTTTTGCTGAGGAGAAGAGATGAATTTGAAGTTAATCAAATTCACCTCTCCCACCATCACCCTTCATAACAAGCTCACACTTTTCTCTCTTTAGCCACAACACTTTTTTCTGTTTTTCCATTTAAGAAGACATGTCAAACCCTAAAGCAAAATCAATTTTGAGTTTATTATCAGGAAGAACTCTTTGAAATAGAGAAACAACACCAGGAACTTCAACAATGACAACTCAAACTTGGAAAGGAAAAATGATTGAAGGAAAAGTGAGAGAAGAAAAGAATGAGTCGGAAGGCAAAGACGAGGAAGACGAAAACAAGATGGTACAATAAATGGTACATTTGATTAACAATCCAGTTGGTGGAAAGAAAGAGAAAATGAGGAAGGACAAGATGAAGTGAACGGGAATGTGGAGAGAGATCTTGGTCGAGGAGAAGTAGGAGATGATCATTGAGGTAATCAGTTAGTAGACAATGAAGACAAGGAAGTTGCAGGCTTTGGTGAGTGAAAAGGACCTACTCGGAAATTTTTTCCAATTCATTCATAATTCCTAAGTTATTATTTCAAGAACCCCCTCTCTCTCCTCTTCTCTTACTCTTCTATTTTCACTATCCCATTCCATCACATCCTATAAACCTATCCCGTGTAACAAGTATCCACCTACCCATCAATCCATCAACAAGATAAAAATATCAATTAATCGGTGTGGCTGAAGTTTATGAGCGAAAGAATAGTGTGGCTGTGATTGAGTGTGGCCAACTATTAGAGTGGTAGAGTGGTGGGAGTGGCCAGATCTTAGTGTAGCCGGTATCCAGTGTGGCCAAATATATCAGCGTGGCCAAGGGTGATCATGACCAAGTGTGGCCAAATATCAGTGTGGCGAGATGCTAGTTTGTGTGGTTAAGAATGTGATCAAATTCAATGTGATTTTCTGGATTGGAGTGGCCTTTTTTTCAAAAAAAAAGAAAGATAAGATACTTACAAGCAGTTCATCTTGATAATCTAGAGCATGATGATGAATCAATGGATGAACATCCTACCATTGAGTTGGAACATGCAAGATGCATCAGACATACCCAAACAGCATTTGATAAAGATAAAATTGCTAAATTCAACATGCTTACTTTGGCCTATGATAAGTGGTGTGAAGATAACAATACTCCAAAAAGGAACGTAGGCCTGAATACTTATGAATTTGAGTAAAGTGATGAAGAAGAAGTTGTGACAAAGAAGAAAGAAGTTGAGAAGCCTAAAAATCAAACGGTAGAAAAGACATCAGATAATACTCCTCGTATCATCCCCAAGAAGGATCCTACAGCGGAACCGCGTTGGGTCTGTGACTACCGCGAGTTGAACAAAGTCAATGTGAAAGACCGCTCGCCGTTGCCCAATCCTGATGAATCAGTACGGCTAGTGGCCACGGGGAAGATATTTTCAGTAGTTGATCAAATCAATAGTTTTTTTCAAACTTTGATGAGGAAGGACGACATACCTCTAACGGCCGTGAAAACACCATGGGGAATGTATGAATGGGTAGTTATGCCAATGGGGTTATGTAATGCTCCTGCTATGCCTCAAGCATGTTGTGAAGAAGCTTTAGGGGATTTGATTGGGAAGATATGTGTGGTATACATAGATGATATAGTCATTTTTTTGGATACAATGGAAGAACATGAGAAGCATTTGAGGGAAGTCCTGACACATCTCAAGGAAGCCAACCTCTACTGTGCAGCCCGTAAGAGCAAATTATTTAGGCACAAGATATCATTTCTGGGTCACGAGATCAGTGAGGAGGGCATCAGACCTGACCCAGTACAAGTAGACAACATTACTTCCTGGAAAAGCCTTAAATCAGCAAAAGGATTGAACTCTTTTCTAGGTACAGTACAATGGTTGAAAAAATTTGTTGATGGTCTAGGCCAATATGTTGCTACACTGGCACCGCTGAAAAGCTCGAAGAAGAAACCAGTGGACTACAAGTGGGGTATGACAGAGGAAACCGCCTTTCAGAATATCAAAAGGGTAATAACAACCCTGCCTATACTGAAGAAAATCAATTACAATTCAGAAGATCCATTGTGGCTCTTTTCTGCTGCTAGCGGCTACGGTCCGGGAGCGGCGTTATTTCAAGGCAAGAACTGGGATACATCCTTACCGATTGCGTACGAGAGTTGAACAATGTCACCAGCAGAGCGCAACTACCCAGTTCACGAACAAGAACTGTTGGCAGTGATCAACACATTGCAAAAGTGGAAGTTTTTGCTGTTAGGTTGAAGAATCAATATCATGTTGGACCATCATGGCTTGGTACACATTTTAAAACAACAGAACTTGAGCAGACGTCAAGCACAATGGTTCGAGACTCTTGCAGACTTCTACTTGGACTTTAAGTACCTCAATGGACCAAATGATTCTGTTGCTGACGCGCTGTTGCAGAGGGAGGAGGTCTCAGAGCTGGAGATCAAGGCTGAAGTAGGTGAAGATACCCGGCAAACGATAATTCTTGGCTACAAATCCAACCCCTTTTGCGCAAAGTTGTCTTTGACGCTTCCGCTACGGGAAGATAGTCGGATGGTTGATTAACTCATGTACATCAAAGGACAGCTAGTTATCCCCGACATCAAGCAGCTAAGACAGGACCTGATATCTTGTGTACACAATACCCTTGGTCATCTAGGAGCGGTCCAAACAGTCGAGCAGCTTTGGAAGGAGTTCTTTTGGCCAGGATTGACAGCCGATGTGAAAACGTTTGTTTCGAGTTGTGACAGCTGCCAACGCAACAAAGCGCGGATACACTGATATCAGGACGTCTACAAACTACTGAAGTACCTCACGCACCGCTTGAACACATCAGCTTAGACTTTGTTGGGCCATCCCCGAAAGTGAATGGGTATGAGTGCTATCATGCACATGCCGCTTATCAGGATTTGTCCGATTGATCCCTGTGTCACAAAAGGACCTGGCTGAGAAAACCGCACGACAGCTATTCTCTTCGTGGTTGGCAATTTTTGGAGCGCCAGTGTCAATGATAGGGGACCGTGATACAACGTGGGTTTTGAGATTGTGGCAACACTGGAATGAGTGCCTCAATGTCAAAGTCAAACTGTCCACGTCCTATCACCCCCAAACGGATGGACGTAGCAAGCGTTCGAACAAGACCACTGCAGACATTATTCGGGTTCCCCAAGTGGGCAGGGAAAAATGATTGGGAGTATGATTTGTCATAAAATGGTCTATCACTCCACACCTGAGCCATAACACCCACACTACATATGTGTAGCAGGCTCAGTGAATATGTGGTTATCATGTACATACAGTTCTGCTCAGTTATCTGCTCATCAGGACAAGTTATTCTTATGTAATACATGCTGTAACTTCTTTCAGATTGAAAAAAGCTTCCAAAAGATTGACTACATACACTGACTCAATGTTTTGGTGTGATCTCATCAACTCAACTGCATGTAACACACTTTCTGTTACTAAGACATAGCTTCAACAATATTGCCTGAGCAGCTACAGAATTATATGTAGTGAATTTTTGGGAAAAAAATTTCAAAGTCGAAAAAGTTACATGTGGTATAACATGTGATTTATTTATTCTGATGGGCAAAAAACTGAGCAGACCTGTATGTACATGATAGACAACTATTGACTTAGCTTGCTGCACATATGTAGTGTGGGTGAAATGGCCCAGGTGTGCAGTATTAGATTCTTTTATGAAAAACTGTACTATTAATCATTTTCCTCTGCCAAATTGGGGAAGTTGAATGATGTTTACAGTGGACCCTTGGCCAGATCTTACAACATCTAGCAGCGTCACCCTACACTAAATGGTTAGAATCATTGTCTACGGTAGAGTTTGATATCAATTCAGCCACAAATTTGTCAACAGGAATCAGCCCCTTTGAATTTGTTTTTGCCAGACAGCCTTGTCTTTTTCCAACTAATTTAGGTCAGAAAATTAAGGAGAGTGACACACACCAGTGGATCAAAAAGAGAAGCGCAGACTGGGCGACCTGGAGGGACAAGCTTTGGGCCAGCCGTGTGGATCAAGCGCTTCAGTATAACAAAAGAAGAAAAGGGGCGGATCAATTGACGGCAGGTGACTGGGTCCTAGTGGATAGCCAGGATCGACAGCAGATTGTTGGTGGTAAGGGTTGCACAGTATCAAAATTGAGGGCACGGTTTGACGGACCGTACAAAATCAAGACAGTTATGAATGACGGCTGAAATTACGAACTTCAGCTGGCGGAAGGAGACAAGACCCACCCAATCTTTCACATCTCAAAGCTCAAGCCGTACAAATGGAGGGATGAGGAAGTCTAGTATAGGACTAGCGTCCAAGAGTAAGTGACCCTCCTTAGTATGCCAACTGCCTCTACCTCTACACCATTGTAAAAGCAATTCCACGGCCACTCCAACACCGGAACCGCTACAAAACGCTCCAGATTCTGGGCACCCTAGAGAGCGGTGGCGCAGGCTCCGAAATGAACCGCTGCGCACTCAATCGCTATTTTTTTAAAATAAAATCCTCAGGCGATATTGTAGTGCAGTAAGCGCTACAATATCGCTATATATCGCGCTATGGGGCCAGAATCAAGATATTAAAAAATCAATTGCGCTTTCCAAAAAATCAATTGCACTTTAGATGTATGTGACAGTGCACTATCAAGAATCAAGAAGCCAAAGGAAAACAAAAAAGAGAAATGAAAACAAGTTTTTTTTGATTTTTATGAAGCGACCTTTTGACATATAAAGAAATAGAAATTTGAGATACCATTTGAATTTGTATCAATTTTGAAG